GCCTGAGCCCCGGAGGGTAGATGGTGAATGAGTCCCTGTGCAGCCTGGGGACAAGCGTGAGTGGGACGCCTCTCTTTCAGACTCCTCAGGAGAGCCAAGCCTCCTGGGTGGACCACTGGAACCTCGCCACGTGCCAGCTGGGAAGAGTGGGCCTGAGGCCCCCTCTGCAGTTTCACCTCCTCCCCCAGCTCCTGGTGGCATTTGTATGCTGAAAAGATGGATGATCAGAGCTCCTGGTGGCATTTATTCTCAACTGCTACTTAATATGTTTGCCAAAGGCTGTCATTTTGAAGGGGAACGTGTTCAAACAGCAGGAGTGACTCAGACCCCAGCTCGGCACCCCTGGGAATGATGGCAGCAGAGAGCCTGGTCATGGGGTCAAGCATGGGCTCTTCTGCCCTTGGGAGCACCGGAAAGCTAGGTAGTCACATGGGTGTTCCTGTGCCTGGCTTTCTAAGACTCGAGGGACTACGGCCTTCTGTTCAAATAGGGCCCAGCTCCAGGGGAGTCCTTCCTAACGAGAAGAATCCCAGGAGCATATTAGTAGTCTGAGAGCCAGGTCTCCCTTCCCATATCCCTGCCCACCATACTTCACAGCCCACTGCCCCCTTCCTACCCGCTCCACTCCAGCCTCCCCAGGCTACCCATCCACGCGCATGTTCCAGGGCCTCCTAGTTCATAGAGCTCCTTCCCTCATTGCTTCTCCAAAGCATGGTTCTAGAAACTTCTACTGGAGGTAGAAGATAGTTAGAGAAACAGCCCAGCCAATGAGAATGTTCACTCCTCTTACAGAAGCCCTGACAGTATCCACCTCAGGTGGCTCATAACTATCTGTACCTCAAGTTCCAGGGATTAAATGCCCTCTTCTGGCCTCCACAGGCACTACACACACATGCATACACAAAGGCATACACATAACATACACACAGGGAGAACTAGAGGAGATAATCTTTTTTGAAAAGAAGAAAAGACAATTATGTGGGGGACCTCTTTTTAATCTTGGTCCTTCTTTTGGACTTTTAGGTAGGCAACCTGGGTTTGAGCCCTCCTTGGGAACTTATATGATGTTACGTCTGCTTGCTTTTGTCTAATTTGCATGGTCCTCGAGCCAGGTGATGGCTTGGCCTCTGAACCTAGGCCAGGGCAAGCATCTATGCAGGAGATGAAGCACATCTGAATGAGTAAGGGAACCCTTCCATGCTGTGCCTGGCAGTGAACACATGGGGCAGGGAAGCCACCAGGACCTGAGTCACAGCAGTGATGTCACCACACAGGTGACCATGCCCTTGGAACAATAAGACCGAGCCGTCTGAGAGCATCTAGCAGCTGTGATCAGAATTGTCCAAATCCAAGCAATAAGTGCTGCAGGTGATGAGTGGACAGACCACACCTCCAAACAGTGGCATGTCACTGGGCAGCATCGAGAAGTGAGCCATGGCGCCACAGAGGACAGAGGAAGTGAGCCTATGACCGAGCAAAGGAAGGGAGACTAGAAAGGTGGCATGCAGAATGATTCCAATACTATGAAACTGTGAAGAAGGCAAGGGGGAGGAGACCTAAAGGGAACAGCCATGGTGGATGAAGGAGAGGACTCGTGGAGAGGGCGTTGTAGGACAGTGACAAGATGCCTGTGGCACAGTGATGGGGACACATGTGACATTTGCTGTGTGCATGATCATCTATATGTGTGCCTGCTTGTCTATATGTGTGCATGATCATCTGTATGTGTGCCTGCTTGTCTGTATGTGTGCATGATCATCTATATGTGT